CTAAGCTTCTAAAATCAGTTGCGGGTTCAAGCGCAATGGTGTACCGTCATACTGTGCCCCCGGCCTAAAGCAGAAGAAGGAACGCCTTGGTTTTTAGTCAGTAAGAGTCTCACACACCGTTTCACCTCGTCCAAGGCGGAAGAAAGTCATCCGTGAATGACAATATTAGACTATTAAATTTTGCAAGAGTCTGTGGATGGTGAGTAAGGGTAGCTCGCCGCCCGACCAGAACCAGACCCGAGCGTACGGCGCGTCGTGTTTCGCGGGCACCCTAAAGAGCCAATAGACCACAACAGACGGGGTCCTATAGGACTTTTGTTCAGTCGGGGTTGCGGTGTAAGCGCAATGAGGCACCGCGGCCTTGGTCTAGAGCAGGGGAACAAACGAGGAGGCTTAAAGTCAGTAAGAGTCTGACACTCCCTCCCGGATGGGAGGAGTAATTTGATGACTTTCCCCTCAGAAAAAAGACTATTAATAAACTCAGCAATCACAGAAAGAAAACACTGCGACATTAATGATATCAATAACCTATGTCAATGCAGTATTTCATTGCAGCTATGGATCTAGGCCGTACATTCGCTTTGCGGCTAAATATCAGCTGTTTATGTCACGCGTCATAAATTTACGAAATGTCATTCCGACACGCCATACAATAAATCTGTTATTATCGAATGAGACTGCCAATGGAAGTTAATATTGAAACAGACTTATTTAGTCTCATTCAAATATCAATATAGTCTCTATCAAATATCATTTTAGTTTCTTATCAATATCAAATCTAAATAATCAATAAAGTGGACTACATGCTATAGTTTTATAAACATTATTTTAATGAATACAGTACCAAAGTATTCCTTCGGATGATTTTATTCCAAAATCAATTTTATTGCGATTCTAAGTACATCGGATATTTGAGTCTCTATTTAATAGAGAGACAGAAAAATGGTGGGCTCATTTGGTGATTGTAGTGTCAGACTGACTAAAATCAGGGTGATTTTAGGCTTCCAGTAAATCCGACTGGTCTCTATTTTTTATCTATTTCTCTATCAAAATAAACAATTAAATAGACTCATTCTGTTTCTCAATATCGAGACATAAACGGCCTTATTACAAAACAAGGTTTTACTTAGTCTAGGACTAAACCATTGAGCCAGTTTTTGTATTTCGAATTGAAGATAGATGACAATAAGATTCAAAATTCAAAACCCGACTCAATGGTTTAAACCTGGACTAAAGATAAATCTTGTTTTGTAATAAGGGGGAAAGCGTTTTTATTTTTAATGAATAAGGAAGATGGTATTCGTTATAGAAAAAGCCACATACAGGCTGGTGGCTTACTTTTTGTCTAACTACACGTATTTCCTTATTTGCATTAGTGATACGGATTTTTTATAGTTATAAGTTATAAGTTATATAGATTTCATTTTAATAGTTATATATTTATGTTTTGGTTATGAAATTTATCGAAAAAGTACCACGAAATCGCCTAGTAATAAAACTTTTTAACTTTTTTGGTATGATATTATATAATTATTTATTTTAGCTAATATCATCTACCAAGATTTCTCTAGTCGATCATTTTATTCCTTTAACATTAGCATTGTTATTTTAGGAAAGAGCCTTCGAACTCCATGATAAGAACATGCCATCACATCGATATATTTTTTTCACAACTGCCGTCATTTTTTATAGCAGATATATTATTGTATGCTTTATATTGACTGTAAGCCATGAGTTTATTAACCTTTCTCTGTAGTATATAAGTATTAGTTTATCAACATTTATATTAATTGATAACATTGTTGTAGGTATATTATATAGGTAGATATGTACGTTAAATGACTCATAAGTAACATAACAACACTTAAGTGTAGGAGAGCTATACTTCGGCGCCAATGGTTCCGGAGTGATACCACGACCTCACGGTAAAACGTCTCAGCCGGGGTTGCGGGGTAAGCGCAATGAGGCACCGCGACCTCGGCCCAGAGCAGGAGAAAGAACAGGGGGGTTTTTAGTCAGTAAGAGTCTGACACTCCCTCCCGCCCGGCCCTGGGCGGGAGAAGTCATTCGATGATATTCCCCTCACAAAAAAAACGGTAAAACGACGTGAAACAACCACATTGTTATATTTTGCCGTATGAGTGAGGTTACAGGCCAATCCTTCTTCCCTTCTCCCATCTCTAAATCTCCGAAACCCTTATCCCCAAAAGGCAGGAAACGCACTAGTAACTTCCCTGGAGTTGCAGGCGGTGCTGATTGCTTATCATTAGGTACGAGTATTCAGTCTGTTCATTTGCCATTTTTATTTTACATTAAAAAAAGATAAATACCGATAAACCGATAAGTAGTGAATGTTTACTAAGTATGTTATGTACACAAAATTATATAATTCGTACCTACATAAGGCTGACTTAATGCCATATATGTATGTATGATAATCTCTACAAGTCAATAATTATTTGAGTAAAGTTGAGAAATCAGCGAATAATTCGAACGAAAAATATGTTCAGTAAGTAAAGATTTTCAGACTAAATAAATTAAAGTACATTTTTCAAAAATTCCAAAAGGACCAGAATTTTCACAGTACAAAGTCTATTATTTCATAAATCGTTATCAAAACGATTAGTACGAGAATATTATGCATCATTAGATTATTATAATAATAATCTTACCTAATTATATTGATAAGGACAGCTGTGTCCGATAGCGCACACACACAATATGCAATCATTAATATTTGTTTTGTAATTATTTCTTAATGATCCGTTTTACTAAAAACAACATAAGTATCTTTCTTTTCGTCTGAGGTTACAGCTACATAAGCGAAGGTATGGGGGATTTTTAGTCAGTAAGAGTCTGACTCTTCGTCTCGCCATAACCTGGGCGAGAGAATTCATATGAGGTACAAATGTAAAACTATACTAATATTATAAAGAGGTAAAATTTCTAAGTTTGTATGTAGCGGGTAATCTTTGGAACATCTGGTCGGATTTCCAAAATTCTTTCACTGATAGATAGCTACAACATTCCTGAGTGCTATAGGCTAAACGTCACGCTACGATTAAATGGAGCCAAGCAGCGGGTGAAACCGCACGAGAGTAGCTAGTATTAAGTAAATGTAAAACTATTCCCCATTTTAATTTCTGTCCTAAATTATAAAATTCTTAACTATTACTGTCAATTTTTACAACACCACGTGATACGACGGCGTCGCAGGAAGCCGGCGTGAATCAACACTTACGTAGTGTTTTGTCGTGTGAGTGAGGTTACCGGAGGCACAATCCTTTCCCCCGTATCCTCAATCGTCAAAGCCCCTATCCTTAAATCCCTAATAACCCACAACAGGCCGGGCGGAGGTACGGCCAACACTGTAGTAATTTCTTTCATATTACGAGTCTCCATGGGTGGCGCTGATTGCTTACCATCAGGTAATCCGTCTGCTCGTTTGCCGACTTATGACATAATATAGGGTGTTTTTACCTAGGTAAGTAATTATTGCTTACCTACCTTTAATTTGGTCATGCGATAGCGTCTTAATTCAAGTTACAGAACTGGCGGGTATCGCTGTGTTTACTGACACGGATAGGAACCTGTCAGCATCTGTCTTGGTTTTCTGACTTGTGATTAGGGTGTCTGTTATTTTATACTTAAACGTTTAAGTTAGTTCGTTGGTTGAAGAATCTACAGTGCGGTAAACTGTCTATAAGGTCATATTATTTTAAAATTACTTTAACAAATTTTGACTCGTAAAATAAAATATGATTTTCTAAGATTGTTTTCTTGTTTTTAACCGACTTCAAAAAAAGGAGGAGGTTCTCGATTCGATTGTATTTTTAGTGAAACTTTTGCTTTTTAATACTGTAAAAATGTGAATTTTGTTTCTTATTACAGCTTTACCTATCTTATCGATAAGCAATTGGCATTTATGTATTTTTTTGAATATGTGTGATAACCATAAGTTATGATTTATATTTCCCTTCTTTGGCCTTATATAAATAATACAAATTCGCTAGAACCTTCCTTCATTGGTATTTTCATCAATTAAGATTGTCACTGACATATAAATGAAGTAATATTTTGTAAATACATAAAGCGGAATCAAAAAAGCTTCTTTCTTTTTTTTCATGTGCGAAAGAGATCCCAACACTAACTAGGCAAGTATCCGGAAATCTCAAGAATAATAATATTGGCGACTTTCCATATTATCTTTTTATCCCTGGTTTTATTGTAATGATACTAAAATATCACTAAAAAGTTGACATAACAGACTACTCACGGAATTTAATATAGATGAATGGATTACTAAAAAATATTAATTCTGAAACGTTTCTGAAATAATCAATACATAAAATGTTGTTTTTTGAACTGATTTATAACGTAACAATACTTATAGCTATCAAAATTAAAACATGGAAGTGTAAACAAACTCCAATATTTTAATAGTCTGATGTGAGCAATCAAAACAGATTAGTTTTAAATAAGCAAAACGTCTCGTAGCGATAACCACATACCTATGAGTAATAGTAATTTGTTTTTCTAAGAAAATAAACATTTTCCTCTATGTACACAATATAACAAAATATATAAACATTATCTATTCACATTTTACGAATTATATGTATTCCCTGCAATCTATAACAAAACAAAAAGTGCCATTGAAATCTGTAATATAGTTTGCTCGAATTGTTAGTAGAATTTCAACTACAAATCAATGCCATCTAGACCACGCAACGTAGAAAATATTTAAGCCATAAATCTAGGTATCCATTAAAAATTAAAAAGAGATTGTAACGCGATATTTTAGCTAACAAGTCTCGTGATAACTCCTTTCTATTCTTACGCCTGTCATGACGTAACACACAGAAAATCATCTTAAAATCTGAATTACGTCCTTCGATCGAACAAGAGGGTATTATAGAGCACAAAACAAGCCATAAAACGGTTGAAAACAGTGTAAAAACATCGTAAATTGTATTAATTACGACATGGTTGTTACTTACCATTTTAATTTATAAGTGGCGCGTAATCCGTTTGTGGTATAAATAGGAGCGGTGACGCGTCCGTTCGTCGCTAGCAATGCGGAGCGACTGCGGTCTCGTGCTCGGTCAAGGGCATGGAAACTGTGCCAAATGCTAATAATCGACCTCTGATAGCGCGGGAAACTTCGCCCGTGGCGGGAAATGCTGCTATACCTATCTTCTATCTATATTACCTTCGGACTGTAATGCTTCCGTGTTTATTTGAGTATTTGTCTTGATTTATTTATTTATTACGATAATTATCTATGTTAAAGGCAATGCCCTGGAGCTTAGTGTTTTTTTTTTGTGAGGGGAAAATCATCAAATGACTTCTCCCGCCCAGGGCCGGGCGAAAGGGAATGTCAGACTCTTACTGACTAAAAACCCCTGTTCCTTCTCCTGCTCTGGGCCGAGGTCGCGGTGCCTCATTGCGCTTACCCCGCAACCCCGGCTGATGAAAGGATATTAATTTGATATTTATTTGTAATTTCTTAGGCGTTTAATTAGATGCTTCTAGTACAACCTCTTTCTTATTAGGTTTTAAAATTGTAAAAAACCGGTTATCAATTCAATGCTTTAACTCTCAGTATTTATTATTGAATTATAACTATTATTGTGTGACATATTAAATTAATTAGTGTATATACCTTTACTTACCTATGCAACTATTCGACGAGTCTGCTCGACTGGTTTCAAGCCCTGTCGGGGGCCCATAATCTTGCGTAGAAAGCATAACAACATGGTAGTTATTTGTCTTTTATAAGTTTTTTAAGTGATTTTACGAAGTTATCGCTACAGTATTGTTACAGCATAACACCGCAATGACAAATATTTGCAGGATATGATTCATTTATATCTACGTAGATATTACGTATACCTGAACTTTGACGTTAGGTATTTAAGCATTATTTTTTGCGTTTACATTTTATTGGTTGTACCAAGTAGTGTCAGTTACACTACGTAAATGAATATTACAGTACATCACACAAATCAATATAGAATTGTAGTGTCCTTCGAGTGCTGTGTCGTGAGTAAGGCAGAAAAAAATATTGTCCCATTTTTGTCTGTTACATTCGAAATAAATAAATAATTACCTTTCGTTTTGAAAATTTGTGAAGTATTTGATACACTTGCCGAGTATTTTTCTTCTCTTGAGGATTTAAGTAGTTCAGCCGTAAAGTAAGTAAAGTTTTTTTTTATGGTTATAGGTCGGCAAACGAGCAGACGGATTACTTGAAGGTAAGCAATCAGCGCCACCCATTGACACCCGCAACACCAAAGGAGCACCTACGTGCACGTCCCTTAAAACCGTAAAGTATTAAGGCTGGATAAAATTAAAGAGAAACATTAATGGATCCTATAGGGCTTAGCGAGTTAGTTTCCAAAGGAGATTACTAAGAGGTTTTAAAACATATGTATTGAAATAAAGAAATAAATATTCATATTATGTGGCTATGGTTAGTCTCAATTCAGGACTGAGGCGTAGCCTTAGCTATTAGACCCTCACAGATGGAGCCCACAAGGGTCGATGTTCAGCCGGGCTTGCGAATGCAAGCGAAATATTGGGCCGGAGCAGGAAAAAAACGGGTTGGTTTTTAGTCAGTAAGAGTCTGAAACTGCTTGTCGCGCCAACCAGGGCAGGCGAACTCATTTAATGATTAGCCCCTCAAAAAAAAGGAGGGTGTCTTTGTTCAGTAGATATATTCAGGCTGGATAACATAACTTTAACTCTGTAAATTTTTTACAATTAAGTATATAAACTTTGTATTTTCTAGGTTCTGAAATAAAAGACTTCAAATAAAAAAAAGTTGTGCTTCTTTATTGTTGGTTGATAATAAATAACATATATTTAACTAAACTAATTTAAACTTAATAAAGTTACAGGATGCAGGGTTTTGTTATTCAGAATCGAATATATGTAGGTGGCGCTTTTGGATTATTACAATCAGTAGTTATTAATGTAGTTTAAAAACGAAATTCTTGAGTTGAAACTTGTAACAGTTAATTATGAAATCTTTCGGGTTGGCATAATTTTAACACTGCACCAAAAACAGAAAACTTTCCTGATGATAATTCATTTGAAAATAAATCAACAATAAAAAAACAGTCAACATTGATAATATTAATTGTACTGACGCACTATCCTGAAGATATACGTAAATATACCTAAAAGCATCAATGCAAAATAATACTGGGCGTTTCCAAGCAGATTGTGATAATAAAAACCTGAATCACCAGATTTCACGATAAGATTCTAATATTATCAATAAAGATACTTATGGCGCCATCTAGCGAACTGTTTGACGTAAGTACTAAAGAGGCTTAGTACTTACGTCAAACAGCAGTAGTACTAAGGATGCTTTCTTGTCCTTCAACAGGGATGATGGGAATTCTTTTGAAATGTCAAATATGATAAGTTATTATCAGATATTTGTGAAATTTGTGTGACATTAATTGAAACCAAAATATGTTAAGATAAAGACTCTGCAAACAAGGTCTGTGAAAAACATTATTAAATAGGGGGCGCTACCATCTGCAGTAAGAGGGTAAAAGGCAAAGAGTTTTTGTCAATTTACATCTGCTTAGACAAATATTATGTACATTTTGATATAATGTTACACATTGATATTTAAGGATGAAGCTTCAAGGTTCAAACTTTCTTCTGTTTTTTGCGATTTACAGCTCGTTATCATTTATCCTTGAAATATGTACTCTTAATCATAACAATAAAAACTTTTTTCCATAGTAGCGCCATCTAGCTAACCAATTCGATGTCAATCAATACTTTTTTCATTTTATTGCCATTGTAAAATAAACCACCAAATGTCAAACTGACATTACACCATATTGTTTTAAAAGAAAATTTTATAATTAAGTACTACGATCGATATAAAAGTGCTTTATAAATTATTTCGTGAAAATATATTATTATCTATCTACAATATATATAAGTTATATAATTTAAGTAATTTTCCAAATCGACTAATTACTAAGTTGGCCCCGTTTGTGATATTACTACGTGACTTAGCATTACTAAGTATTTAGTCTAACTAAATCTAACTTTGTACGTGAATGTGTGTGTTGCACGCTATATTTAGTTGATATTAGCAGGCTTACTTCTCACTTGGTAGATTGAAGAAGAATTATTTAATATTTTTCCATTATATTGGTATATGGCGACAAACGAACAGAAACGAAATTTTCTGCCCCGCAAAGCAAAACTTTGCAACGGTGGGGGTATTCCCGAACCGATACGACCTTCAAACCTTCAAGAAACGAGCGTACTCCTTCTTAAAAGGCTGGCAAAGTGAAACTGCAATTTAAGATGTCTTTAAATTTTTACATCAAATAAATATTTAATTCTGAAAAATAGTCGAAAGAAATGTTATTAGGTAAATACAAATCAATGAATAAAGTTTTTTTGGAAAGTTATTAATATTTTAGTTCTGAGTTGTCCCAGAACATCTTCTTTTGCCGACGAATTTGAAACTGCGTTGATGATTCTATTAAAGTTCGAAGTAAGCCTGCTAATAATAGGAAAAATGACTTAAAAATCTTCTTGAAGATAAAAACTAACGATAAAAATAAACTAAATACGACAGTATTACATTGAATACGTATCATACATGTCGATAATTAAGATATTTATTTATTAGGAATTAGTACAAGTATAGTAAGTAAATTCGTTCTGGGAAACATTGGACCAATGTAAATATATGTGCACAGTTAATATAAGGCTGTTAGAAATTATACATTAATACATTTCACTGTACTGTACAAGTTCGAATAGAAAACATGCAGAAAAATTGTGAAATCTATTTTTTAGGATGTACCCCAAGGTAACATTTTAGGTCCAATTTTACTCAAAACGACCATATACTTAACATATCTTAAAAAGATTTTATGTATTTAAAATTATTTTAATTACAATTAAAAACTACAGTATGACTTTTAAATAGCTCTAAAAATAGCTAAACGTCTTAAACTAAGGCACTTCTTATAATATTCGTGTGTGCGTCGTTCGTACAAAATATTTGATATAAAATATACTATTATAATGTGTTTTCATCTTACATAAATATTTCTAATATCTATATTAAATGTAATTGTGCCGACTACAACTATATTTGACTGGTCGAAATTGCTTGACTGATTGTGATATTGGTCTGGATATACATAGTTTTGTAAAAGAATTGTCCGTCCCTATGACGGACAATTCTTTTACGATGTGCAAGATACATAAAATAAAACAAGTTGATTAAATATTATGTAGGCTATTTTTCACAATAACTTTTACACATGTATTTCAGTGAAAAATGCATGAATTTATCTGCCGGATACGGTTTTAGACATTACTATTACCTAATATAAAAATATTTTTATGTTTTTTATATTTATAATTTCACTGTATAATGTATCCTCGCATTTGATTTCAATCTTTTCAAGTCAGTCGACAATCAAATACAGTCATGTCAAATACCTACATTACTTTTCTTACTTACTATTTCTAATTTATAATTTAATTACATATCGTATCGTAATTAGTTATCTATACATAATTTATCCCAGTTTTTTTGTATGATATTTTAATTTATATAATATCTAAATTCTTACTTATTCGGCACTTTCACGGCTTTCGCTGTTCATATTGATATTTTTAATATCAATAATTTGCATATATTTTTGATATTATATTCTTCGATATCACTGCCCGTATTTACTTATAGAAACTACTATTTATAATGTTACTTTAATTTTTCGCTATAACCTTATGTATAAAATATTTTATTTTATTGTTTGTCCGTACTAATTATGCGTTTGGTTTATCCAAATCATTAATTTAAATTAATTAAAAGTTTTTAAAATTTCTTAAAAGTAAGTCCAATTTAGTTATAAGAATTTTATATTAAGTATTTACTTCTCCAATTCAAATATTTATCTTTTTAGTAAGTTTTTTATGTTTTGCTGTCATATTTGGTTTTATAGAAACGAAAAACTGATCCTATCAATAAGTTTATGACATGATTTTCAGTTGAAAATATTATATTTTCTGTTTCATATATCACTAAAACATATTATATATTCTAAAATTCTGAAACCTTTACAGGTTAAAGGTTTTAAAAAAACCTTTTGTGTTATCCAGGTATGGCATTTCCAACAACCACAGTAGGTCAAGTTAAAACAACGTAGTTCTACATGTGGGTATTCATGGTGATCTCTCCGGTACCGTGTTCATAGAGGGCGCGCACGTCGTCATGGGTCATCTGCGACACTGTCGGGATCTTTGTCACGTTGTTTAGAAGAGGTTTCACCTAGAAAAGAGAAAAGAGGGATTAAGATATTATATTTGAAATAAGGATTCCTAAGCCCCAATCCCTAATCGCAAAAGGCAAATTGTCCTACAATACTTTTGCATCTGCTCTTGTTGCGGTGTCTATGGGTGATTGCTTGCCACTATGTTATCCGTCTGTTCTTAATACCATAGAAATAATGTCTGAGGAACTTAGAACGTACAGTCATGATAAGTCCCAAAGGCTTTATGGAATTGCTAATCAAAACATTACACTTCAGATTACTTTGATTATTTTAGTGCCATGATTCCAAAACATAGTTCTGAAGAATGGTGGTAATCCCTCAACATATGTAGTTCTGAACTCTATCCAATGATATGTGATATAGCTAAGAAATCTGGAGTTGAAATTGCCAAAACGTTTTGACTAATATCTTGTCACTCGAGATACTAGCTTTTGTAATGTTAAAAAAATCAATTTCAATATTGTTAAATCTGTAGAAATTGACTTTCGTTTTTGCTAGGTTCGTAATGTTGGTATGACGTGCGCGGGCGGCGTACCGCGCGTTCCAGCCTATTTAAAAAAAATGAATTAGTGTGCCACAGATTAGCGAGTTTGATAGCCGTATTGCATCGTTCCCTTTTTCCCGCGCAAATACATGACAGTTTTTGAGGATCTTACCTTATTCCCGGACATGGCAATGAACCCATTACCAACGCCACCGTTGTGCACGTTCCCATTGGGCACGGAACCATTAGCATGTCCGTTGGCAAGTCCACCGCCCATACGGGATACAGCTGTTGCAAACTGCTGCATGCTCGGCGGATCTGGAACAAAAATAATAATTTGAAGTCAAGTTCAAATAAAATTAACAAAGTGGAATTGTACACAAGATGAAGAGGATAACTTCTGACACAATAGTGCAGTCTTAGTTGAAATAAAAAATATTTGCTGAATGATTTATACAAATTTGAAGGTTGAAAGAGCCATACTTCGGCATGAATGAATCAGCTCGACCGAAGTGGTATCAGCACGGCCTAATGAAAAACCGGCGTGAAACAACTACAGCGTTGTATTTCGCCGTATGAGTGAGGTTACCGCAGGTTACCCAATCTTTCCCCTTCCCCAATTCCTAATCCCTAGAGTATCGGCAACGCACTCCTAACTCCTCATTTGTTGCAAGTGTCCATTGGCGGGACTGATTGCTTACCATTTGGGACGTTGTTGCAGAGCAGCCGGTTGCCAGCTTGGAAATGTAACATGAAGACACCATTTGAAGCGTAGTATCTTAAGATTAAAGAACTTAATTACGAATTAGAGATGTAAAACTCTATATACCTTTGCGGCTTGGTTGTTCTTGAGGCTGTGGCATGGCAGCTAGGGCTTCAGCCTTCTCCATCTCCTCGAGCAATACTCTGGTGAACTCCGTCTGCACGTCAGGAGAGTCAGTATCCCCATCCACCTGAGGTACAGAGGGAAAGTTAAGAATGAGAAGATGCACAACTAAACGGCTTACACCCCTAAGTCTTCCCGGAGGAGTCGTTATACCCGATCAAGGGTTTACACATTTGACAGAACACCAGGCTACTACAGCGGAGTAAAGCGCCCTCTGATAAACCTTTACTTACTTTGAACTTCGATTTCCAAAACGGAATATAATGGCTGACCCTACTTTGTATTAGAGACTCATAGTTCTCCCATAGTCCCAACTTTTGATTAGTAAATAATTCTAGAAGAGGTAAGAAAATATGCTAAGAAACTTACGATGACCAGCCGATGGTCCTGGTCTAAAGTCTTCAACATGGGCAGGCTGAGTTCGCGGAAGACCTCCAGTCTCCGCCTGAAGGCGGCCACGGAGTCGTCACGTCTTCCACGACCCAGCTGTAGCTTGGAGCAGTCCAAGAGTACCATGCGAGGAGATATACGGAACTGGAAGGATCAATGCACCATTATTATATTAGGTAAGTATATTCTGAGCAGTTATTTGGTATGAAAATATGAAAAAAAAAATATTTAGTACAAAGACATCAACTTTTGTTTGTCTAATGAGCCGAAAAATTGTTAGAACGGATGTGGCTTCATTTGAAATCATCGAATTTAATGTATCAATAACTAATTTGGGTACTGATTGAGTCAATTTTTACTGGCTCACAGAATTTCAGATACTCAAATTTGCATTTAGGAACGTATTGTTGTTCCGATCTGTTCGCGGTAGTTTTCAAACAAAAAATTAAAGCTAAAAAAACGGACAAGAAAATTACATGTTATAATGTTTTTTTCTGTGAACAGGCTAAGAACAGTAATTCACTACGCTATATTAAAATAGATTCTAAAGTTCACCACCTAAGTGGTGGTGAACTTTAGAAACTAAAGTTCAACTAAAGTTCACCACCTAAGTGGTGGTGAACTTTAGAAACCCACCATATCGTCTATAAAAGAAAATTCCATTCTCCTCATCAAATCCTTACCTCAGTTTGGAACTGCTCCATCTGTTCCAAGTCTCTAGGATACCCATCTAAGACCAGCCCATGGCCCATTCTCCCAGCATCCTGCATGGCTGCTCTGACCAGCTTAGTGACCAGTTCCATAGGAACGAGTTCTCCTCCACTGATGGCTGCGCGAGCGAGCGCACCGTCTGATGCTGGACGTCCTCCTGCATCTGCTAGGCTGCGGAGACGCTGGCCTAGGCTGGAGATGAAAGAAGAAAAGGATTTGAAGAATATCCTTTTGTCTTTTTTTCTTTTGAAAAAACGTTGCCCTACACTACGATTTTCTCCTGTGTCGTGGGTGCGTTTACAAACATACGATTTCACATACACATCACACCCAGACCCGGAACAACAATTTGTGGATCACACAAAGAGTTGTTCCGTGCAGGAATAGAACACGTCATACGTTGCACAGCAGCCAGTTGCGTTTGTTTGTCCGTCCAAATGTTTTTTTGATATGGTCCTTATTATAGGTAGGTACAGATGGTTTTGAAGTTTTCAGGGTTTTTTTTTACTTTATAAACTACCATCAGGAAATACAGACTTAGACGAGTATTTTCATGGAAATATACCTTTTTATTTTAAGAAGACCCAAATGGAAGACTATGGTCTTTTTTACCTGTAATGAGTCCAGCCTTGTCGCTGCGAGACCGCTCGTTGACAGAGAGTGGCCTTATTGCTGCCTGGGCCACCCACCACCCAGAGCAAAGCTGGAGTGGTCGTTTCTCCTCGGACCCTTATTACTTCAGGCTGAGAAAGTAAGAGACATAATTTATTAAATACTGGTTTAGAGTCTGAATGAACAAAGACAATTGAAGAATTTCGTAGATATGTTAGTAGACTTGCAAGCAGATGACCTGATGGTAAGCAATCATCACCAGAAGAGATGTGGACGTTGTGAGGGTTTGTGGTTCGAGGAATAAGGAAATTGGGAATATAAGGGAAAGTAAGGTTTAGGTCATGGTGAAACACAACGGCAGTATTGTTCCATGTCGGATTTCTGTGAGTCCGTAGTAACACACCGGTCGAGTCGGCCCAAAGCATTTTTTCTCACACTAGAATTACAATCTTAAAATTTTTTTCTATGTTTCGAGAGTTCAAATCATTGCCTATTTAGATGAAGAAGTTAGAAGTTTTACTATTGGCCATTTCGTATATGACGCACAATACTAAAATTAAATAGGTAGATTCTAATATACAAAGAGGTCCTAATACCCCTAAATTAAGCATTCATACATTTAGTGAATGCAGTGTAGGTACTTATACAGTAGCTTATATAAATAAATATTTTATTATAAGCTTTATGCATAAGTAATAGAGCTCAAACATATGGCGTGATACATAAAAACAAAGTAGGTATATTTAACTCAAATTCTTATACTGGCAGTTAATCACTAACTAGAAGCACATACAAAGAAAAAAACTGTAAGTAATAGAAATTATATTACCGTGGGAACGGACATATGTATGCTTTTTTTTAAAAACCCACTATAATAATATCACAAAAGAACTTTCCTTTGTTAGTACTGGGCAAGCACATGAAAATACCCTAAACTGACTTTCTACAATGGAACTTCAACTCTATATGAAAAAGGATAAAGTTAGAAATGGTTCAAAGACTTTTGTTCGAAGGGTAGGTTGATGTGCGTTTGCCTGTAATAAGGGTACTACTTGAAGAAGAAATTTACAAAAGTCCTCATTAGGTCAAGGCAGTGACCTCTTTACAAAGAACAGCTGGATGTACCCACAAAATAATATTTTTCGCCTAGTCACGATCCTAAAAGGGTCTGTGCGAATTTACTTTATAATACTGTGTGTATTTGTGGACAGTCAGTATTTGTATGCGCGAATAGACTAGGCAATATGTATGAGTATTTAATTTTATAGACTTATTTAAGATACTTATAGAATATACTATGTATTACTAAAATAAAATTTTTGTGGGAGAGCCATGCTTCAGCACGAATGGGTCGGCTCGACCGGAGTGATACCACGGCCTCACAGAAAACTGGCGTGAAACAACCACAGCGTTGTGTTTTGCCGTGTGAGTGAGGTTACCGGAGGCCCAATCCTTCCCCTTCCCGGACCCTTTCCCAATCCCTAATCCCTAAAAGGTCGGCAAAGCACTCGTTACTCCTCAGTTGCAGGTCAGGTCAGGTGTCCATGGGCAGCGCTGATTGCTTAACATCAGGTACCATCTGCTCGTTTGCCGACCTATTACATAAAAAAACTACTACTTTGGTCAATCATCATTACTGGATCGAGCAATGTTAGTTTTTTGTGTATAAGCTCTAACGTTATATTAATAAGAGGAGAGAGAGTTTAAACTACGCCTTCTTAGTAAACAGGAGTAAACCACCAATTCTTCAATGTCTAACACCTAAAAGACCGATAAAGCACTTATTACGCCTCGAGCGTGCTTGGAAGGCACCGGTTTCTTACCATCAGTTTATCAGTCTGCTGTTTGTCACCCTATCACAATAAAAACAAAACTCACCTTCGGCGTAACCACTCTATCATTCGCCACTTCCTTAACAGGTACGGTTACAGGCAAGGCCTTAGGTACAGGCAACGGCATGGCTACAGGCAAAGGCACAACAGGTGCCACATTTTCTTCTCTTCTCTCTCTTTCTATATCTACTACTGGAGCCGGTTCCACTCCTACTATCTCTCCTGGTATTCCACCAGCTCCGACGCCAACGCCACTAACACCATTCATCGTGGACTGATCTTCCGTAGCACCTAAGATTTGAAGTACAGCAGCTCTGAAGTCCTTGTACACTTCATCTGGATTGCGTTCGCCGTTTACCTGGTGGAAGAAGGTAATTGAAATGTAAATAAATGAGAAAAAGAAAGCTTAAATATTTATGAAGAGAAATACCAAAAGGAAAGAACAGGTCAGGCCTCAGAAGAAGATCCTAGCTTTGTGACCTCCGTCGATGGTGTCAGTGCTGCATCATACCGAATGGTTCTGGTGCAGTATCTCATCACTGTTCCGGGCAGCAGTCTAGAGTGAAGAAAGCCCTAATATTACCTTAAAACCAAACTTTGAAGAATATAGTGCCACAAGAAGATTAATTGAAGTGACGGATCCCCAAGAATGCCTTTGTTTGGATTGACCTGTGCCTACTACAGACCATTAGTGGTCTGACTGGTCTGCTCTAAATTTTAAGAAGGATTCTGCCATATTGTCCTACTTTCTAGGCAGGCGGTTTGGAGATTGTTCTTTAGTAGGTACAGATTCGTCAGAGAGTAAGACTGCCCAGGATCAGTCGAAGGTGTCGTTCCTTAGTTGTTGAATCTTTGGAAAAGAGGTGGTGATAAGTGGATAATTGCTTTCTATTCCTCCTCCCACAAACACAGGGCGAAAGGATTACACAGTATTGATATAACATGGTGTTATCTGAAACGTCAACATTTTAATCTACCATCATGAAAGACGTTAGTTCAATCCCATTTAGTCGTGACAGTAAAACGGTCAAAAAACAATTTTCCATGAAACATTTCCCATTTCGTTATTACCACCAACCCAGTATCTAGAATTCTAGACCATCCAACGAAAACACGACACAATTTAATATTAGGTTGAAATAATTTCAAAAGACTCTGTACCCAAATTATGGAGTAAATTCTTAATGAGTCACAATAGAGGCTTAAATTAGTTACCTGTAATTAAATACACGTTTGTGTTGCACGCCCATTGACACAGATATTCGGGTTTGAAGCCATGCAATATAAATGTGACCCTTAAGACATCGATATCATAGCCAATAAGGCAATGTAGAAGTATAATGGACTAACGTCTTGGTAGACCAGAGCTTAAGGCGCTCGCGCCGCCTTCTCATTTATTAGGATGCGGGTTGGAAACCCGGCAAGTACCAATGTGAGTCTTCCGAGTTATATGTACTTTCTATGATTATTTAGACACCATTAACATACTGTGAAGGAAAACATCGTGACGAAACCTGGACTTATAATGTCTAATTATAAGTTTGAAATCGTCAATATGCCTGGAGCTAGCGTAGTGATTAAAGCTCAAATCTTGTCCGTGTGAGAATAAGCCTTTGCTTTAGAGCTCGCTAGAGTATCGTAGAGGCACAAAGGATAAATCTTCTCCTGACTTGTAATATTATTGTATATAATATGTATAGATTATTTAGATACCACTGACATACAGTTGAGGAACATACCGCGACGTACTGAAAATTTTTGGTATTCCCATCCTGAGGCGAGAGGTCGTTTCAGACATTTACTGACTAAAAACCGTCCCGTTCCTTCTCCTGCCAAAACTTTAGAGAGATAGAGAGAGAAAGAGAGAGAGAGAGAAAGAGAGAGAGAGAAAGAGAGAGACAGAGAGAGACTTATTTACTTTTTTATAAACTCGGTAACAATGACATATTGGCAGTTTTCCACAAAACACAAGCTTGTTAAAATTCTAAAGCACGCCATAACTCATCGTTCGGTTGTGTTACAAAAAATTCATAAACACTTCAAGGAAACAACATGGAGGCTCTAGCCTTTTTAATTATTAAATATTTGATTAGTACCTTCAGCCAGTTATGAAGCTACATTTTACACTTTACAAGGCTGCTGTCAAATGCAGTACAACCCACGTTTATTTTATTGGTTTCTGTTATTTCATTGGTAACACTGAAAAAGATGGCGGCGATGGAAGTTGGGAATGAATTTTATGTATTTTTAACAATGGATTGTTACGTTTTAATGGTGTTGGTTTGTTGTGAATTTGAAGATATACATATAAGTATTTTTAAGTTAATCAAAAGTAACAATCGTGAGACATACGAGTATAAACTGAGACAAGTTTTGCGCAACGCGAACGCTGCTCATGAATAAAAGTCCCGTCATGACTTGAAACTATGAGCTATGAGCTATTGAGCTTTTCTTAGTATATTCACTTGAATTAGTTGTTATTTTCAATTAAGTATCATGAGTTTATTAGGCATCCAGTAATTCTTGTTCGTCACGTTATTAGGATGTTGGATTTTTTTTGTGAGGGCAAAATCATCAAATTACTTCTTCCGCCTAGGGTGGGGCGGAAGGGACTCTTACTGACCAACTCCCCCCCCCCCTCCCGTTCCTTCTCCTGCTCTGGGCCGAGGTCGCGGTGCTACTTTGGGCTTACCTCGCAACCCCGGCTGAACATCAGCCTTATAGGGCCCCGTCTGCGGTGGTCTATTGACTCTTTGAGGGGTGCACGGAACGCTACGCGCCGTACACTTGGTTAATTTGAACACTACAGATGGGGCCTAATGTTCAGCCGGGGTTGCTGATACAAGCGCGATAATGTACCGCAGCCTCGAACCGGAGCAAAAGAAGTTATGGTGTGGTTTTTGAGTCTGACATTCCCTCTGGCTCCATCTACGACGGGAGAATCATTTCATAATTTTTACTATGCAAAAAAAAAAACGTTTATTGTATCCTGTACAGGCCCAATTTTTTACCTTTTTCAGATGATAATTATTAAATAAATAATACTATGGTTTCGCACGAAGTCCAATATTTTTAATACATTTTGATAAAAAATAATATACATATATCACATGGGCGGAACGAAAATAAGGGGGTAGATAAAGATTCATCGCCCGAATGCAGGGAGCTGTGACATCGCGTCTTCAGTCTGCTTGTGACCACGACCTGTGCTACTGGGTCGAAACGTCAAGCCTACCAAGGTATTCAAATAATAATTTTCCGCGTTAATACCCGCGAAAGTTTAAAAGTTAGTAAGAAATAATATAACAAAATCCACATTAATTGACCTTAAAAATTTGTTTAACCTGTTTTTATAAATAGGAATAAAAAATGTTGAAACTAAATTCGAAACGACAAATTCAAAAAATATTGATCGAATTTCTACGAATAAAAACCGTATAAATACCTACAACCAATCAAATAGGTTTGCAACAAAAACCACTACTGTTCTATCTACGTTCAATTTACTAGGAAATCAATTGGAAACCGCATTCATAATGCTTTGCAAATAAAACGGGCTTTACAAACAGTGAAACATGCACGCCCCCTGTATGACAGGGAGACAGGTACACAGGTACCGTAATATCTGCTGTATTGAAAGCTGATTTTAAAACTATTTAACAAAAATTCGAAAATCGAAGAGAAAAAGTTTTGATAAATTAGAAATTGACCCATTCCTTTTGACTTTTGAAGAGTGTGGATTGTTACAGGCGAATAATGACGATATAACGTTATTGTTCATTACTTGTGGGGTTTTTTTGTGAGAGGAAAATCATCAAATCTCTTCTCCCGCCCATGGTAAGGCGAGAGAGAGTATCAGACTCTTACTGACTAAAAAGCTCCCCGTTCCTTCTTCTGCTCTGGGCCGAGGCCACGGTGACTCATTGCGCTTAACCTTCAACCCTAGCTGAACATCAGCCCCAATAGGGTCCAGTCTGTACTAGGATTTTCTCCTGTGTCGTGGGTGCGGTTGCAAACATATAACTTCACATACACATGACACCCAGACCAGACCACGTTGCAGTTGCCAGTTGCCCAGCCCCCGCCCCAACCGTGCAGTCAAGTCCAGTAGAGTAACATTTTTTTTAAATTTCGAGTTACTTGATTTCAGTAAGGTGCGCAAGCGACTTAGCCGCTCGTGCTGCTCACTAAGAAGAGTCCCGTTCTAAATTTAAACACAGATGACGCGGTGACTGGGTTACCGGCTGCCATGCATCGTGTCGTGGTTTCGAATCTGGCAAGGAACAACTCTCATCCACGAATTGTTGATTCGTGTCTGGGAATAATGTGTGTTCGAGTCTATGCTTTTAAACGAACGCATGACACAAAAAAAACCTAGTCCTAATTGGTAAAGACGTTTTTTAAAAAAAATGGTTTGATTTACAATAGTTGAAGGCAAAAAAGTAACTTATGTAATTCTCTCACTGAAAAAAAGCAATCGGACCAGTATTTTCAAACCATTTAAATAGAAACACACTTATTAAAAAAAACCTTCTTAATATAAATAACTATAGTAAGTTCGTTAGCATATATCTACACTACAAATCATATTTAATGGGTTTTCAACCTTATAATTTAGCTTTAGAATCGAAAATGTATCAAAGAAAATTGATAATTTTGGGTATCTTGCCGTGCTGTGGTCTATACCGTCATAAACACTCGGTATTTCCCATAGAATATACTAGCATTGCATTATTTATGCATTACGATAAAACACAAAGTATTTTATGCTATACATAGTTATACGAAAACGTTACTGCGCAACAGAACTATTTTAGAGCTTAATTTTCAATGGTAAGACAAAAGTTACCTAGGGAATAATTATGATGCTGTCGCGTCAGAATGTTTGTATAAGACAGGGACAGCAACAATTTTATTCCTCAGATATCATTTATCTGTCTATTGAAAATCAGCCCTTGAACAGGTATTTACAAGGTATTCCTGAAAGTGATAGAATCTTCTAGATTCGTTGTTTATGCGTAATAGTTGACTTACCGCTTATCATAATAAAGTAGGTCCTTTTTAAAATATATGTAGGTACCTAAAAGAACTTTTTATAAACGGACTTTTGCCTAGTACCTAATTGTAGTTTTGGAAAATTGTTCACATACGACCACTTTAGGTAAAGACAAATAATTAATTTCAAACAGATAAGGCAGTTTTGAATGTCATACCAAATAGGTAAACATAAAAAGTTAAAAGTGTCATTCTGTCGGCCAGTATTCTACTGAAGCTATTAGCTCATTTCAATAGACATGTATATTCCTATAAAGAATAACGGTTAAAGCTAGAACCTAGAAGCAAGTTAGAAAACAGGCG